TGCTGGAGAATGCCGGGCTCGATTAGCAATGTCTGCACTGATGGGGGCATGGCCACTAGCAGCAGAACAATCTCAAATTCACCTAAGTAACAGAGATTGGATCTGATGTTCCTTGGAAAAAATATCCTCTGAAGGTGTTATGTTCTATCTAAAGACCTGTCCCCAATGTCTAATTGAATCTACAGCAAGCAGAATGTCGACTCAGCAGTACGCAAGGGCCCTGTTCAGAGCTGAGGCACAGGTTACCAGAGTGATAACCACACATATGGCGGCTTTTCCAGTCCCCAAAGCTCCACTGTCACATTGCCCTGCTCTGTCCTCAGTGCAATCAACCCTGTGGAGTGGGTATTACCACCCATGTTTGACAGGTGGGGAAACTGGGGCTCGGACATGTTAAGAAACTGACCCATGGTCACACAGCAAGAGACAGAACCAGCCTCCGGGTCTGTGTGATTCACGTGCCCAGCACTTTCCACGGTGCCGCACACCAGCTTCCCGTGATTCAAGTAGCACAATCTATCCCCTGACATTTCAAACCCAGAGGCCTTGTAGCTGCACCCCCAGCTGACAGCCCATGCCCACGGCCCAGGCCAGGCAGGGAGCGGTGCTGACATTTGGGCAAGTGGCCCTTTCCCACCCCAGCTCGCAGGCTCCACGAGGGTCCCAGCAGCCTGCTGGCTCTCCGGTGAGTCAGGCAGTGACTCAGGGCCTAGCTCCAGGCTGGAAGAGGAGCTGAGTCAGGGAGCACCAGGCTTCAAAGGGCAGCTGGCTCTGGGCCAGGGCCCCTCAATACCAGGTATATGAGCACAGGATAGGCTGTCTGGGGAACCCTCCCATGCTGCCCTCCCCTTCCTGTGCCTGGCCGTCATGAGAGCAGCTCCCACCACCCAGACCCTGATGCTAGACATCCACCATCCTTTTGGGTTCTCAGTGGGGAAGAGAGTTACCCTCTTCAAGGTCTAGACATGCAAAAGGTCATTTGTGGTAGTCACAATGATTGAAGGACACTATACTATTGAATATGCGAGACAGACAGGACTACAAAGCACCGTCAAGCCCCAAATGTCAATGGGGTCCCATTGAGGAGTGCAAGGTGAAGCACTGCCCCAGGCCTCCTCCCATGGAGCACAGGAGAGAATGAAGTTTCTGGCCAGGAAAGAATCCTAGAGCCTTCAGCCCCTGCCTGCCCCCCTGCGCCCCCCGCAACATACCCCATCCCAAGGCCCTAAAGCCTACCCTGAGCTCCCCACGACTGAGTCCCTGCTCCAGGGGCCCCCTGTGGACAGCCAAGTCTCTTGGGTCTGTTTGTGGAACCCTCCTTGGCCTCTCTCCCGCCTGACCCGATTCAGGTATGAAATCTCAGGCCAGCAGCAGCTGCAGCCACCGGGTCCAGCGGGTCCAGAATCCTCCAACTCCTAGGCACACAGCATCAGAGCGACGAAGTCTTAGGCTCACACACTCTTTGTTTTGTTTTGTTTTGTTTTTTGAGATGGAGTCTCGCTCTGTCGCCCAGGCTGGAGTGCAATGGCCAGATCTCAGCTCACTGCAAGCTCCGCCTCCCGGGTTTATACCATTCTCCTGCCTCAGCCTTCTGAGTAGCTGGGACTACAGGCACCCGCCACCTCGCCCGGCTAATTTTTTGTATTTTTTGGTAGAGACGGGGTTTCACCGTGTTAGCCAGGATGCTCTCAATCTCCTCACCTCGTGATCCGCCCGTCTCGGCCTCCCAAAGTGCTGGGATTACAGGCTTGAGCCACTGTGCCCGGCCACACACACTCTTTGAAACACGGAATTTTGCAGCCTTTGAATGACAGAAGCTTAGAATTTCAGTGTCGCTGAGCCTTAAATCTTAACTTTGAACCCTTAGACTGTCACAGAAGTTTTGAGTCCGAGTGTCCCAGAGCTGACACCTTTGAAGTTGCTGTGCTTTTGAGTCGCCAATTCTCAGGCCTGAAGAGAGTCCGTATCACACCAGTTAAGGCTGAGACCTGAATCACCTCTATCCCAGCCCAGCCTCCGCAGCCCTGGCCATGGGGATGCCGGGAGAGCCCTCGCTCTGCACAGTTCCTGGGACTGAAAAGTCCCTCCTGATGGAGGGGGCTGCTTTCTGCCCCACCCCTTGAACACAGGGCTCTCTCCAAGACAGACAAGAGGTAGGCCCAGCTATTCCCGAAACCAGTACTCCTCTCCCTCCTGGGCCAGCCCCACTGTTGTCTCCAACCCCAGGCCACGACCCACATGCCCTGAGGGTGGAGGCAAGAGGGGTGGTGAAAACCAAGGAGACAGTGGCCCCAAGGACTCTGTTTGCCCAACAGGCCAGAAATGTGGAAAACAGGGTGGGTTCCCAGGCGGCTGGCTCACTCAGTGGTCAGGGGTCAGGGTGCCTGAGGTCAAGGCAGCCCCCATGGTGTGTGTGGCTAACACCCCGGGCTCCCAGGGCTGGAAGGGGTTACTCGTCCGGCCCCTCCTTTTTAGGTGGAGGTGCTGAGGCTCAGAGAGAGGAGACTGCCCAGGGTCACACACACGGCAGACAGAACTCGACCACCCCCATCTGGGGGCCTCTCCGTGACACTTGGGCAGCAGCCCAGCCAGTCTAGCCACAGCCCATCAGAGACACAGCTGGGTCAGACTCCCAGGCCAAGTCATCTGAGCCATGCCCCTGCCTCCAGCCCAGAGCAGTATTGCCCATCCAGACCCCCTAAGGCTCAAAGAGGCAAAGTGACTTACTCATGGTCACACAGCACGCAAGTGACAGAGCCAGAATCAACTCTTCTCATCTCACCCAGGAAAGGCCCCTGAGACATTGTAACATTGTCCCCTTGGTCCTCCTGCCAGCCTTTTTCTTCCTAAAGGCCCAAAACTTCTGTGGTCACCCCCTTCTCAGGCCTGGCACTCCTCTGTCCACATGCCACAAGCCCCCGAGGTTTCCCCAGTGCTTTGTATTAAAACTAGCCATGTAGGCCGGGCACGGTGGCTCACGCCTGTAATCCCAGCACTTCAGGAGGCCGAGGCGGGCGGATCATGAGTCAGGAGTTTGAGACCAGCCTGGCCGATATGGTGAAACCCCATCTCTACTAAAAATACAAAAATTAGTATGGGCATGGTGGTGGGCACCTGTAGTCCCAGCTACTCGGGAGGCTGAGGCAGGAGAATTGCTTGAACCTGGGAGGCGGAGGTTGCAGTGAGCCGAGATCATGCCACTGCACTCCAGCCTGGGTGACAGAGCGAGACTCCATCTAAAAAAAAAAAAAAAAAAAAACTAGCCACATGAGTGGTCCCTGCTTCCTCCCCAGGCACTCTCTGGGACAGACCAGCTCTGCCTCTTTGTCCTCGGTGTCCCAGGGCAGACGTCAGTGAGTGCTGGGTGAACTAATTACCGAGCAGACCCTCTCACCATGCCTGAGACCCTGTGAGCCGTCCCCCAGAAGGAACAGGGAAGTTCTTAGTCCCCACCCAGCAAAAAACACCCAGTTCTGCCTCCCACTCCAGCAGAGACCCTCTGGTTTCCAAAAGTTAGGGGGATCCAGGGCCCACCATCACCTCAGCCCCCTACAGAAGGGGATCCCAGCAGTCCTGCAGCCAGTCTCAACATCCCAGCCTGCATCTGGCATCCCTGGAATCCAGGGCAGGACTCATGCCTGCACCTGACCCACCAGCTCCCCGCGCCCTGCCCTGTGTGGCCATAAGCACCAGAACCTCGTTACTGGGCATTGTTTGGTGCGCCCCTCAAACCACAAGGCCACCATGGCTTGGGTCCCTGGCCCCCAGCTTAACCTTGCAATCCAGTGCCACACAGTCCTTCCAGAGCATAGACCTCTCCAGCCCCCGCTTCAAATCCTGCCCTTGGAACACAGTCCCGTCCCTCATGCAGTCTCCAAGGCCCTGTGGGGCTCCCGCTGCACCTACAGCCTCACCTCATTCCTCTCTGCCCCTCAAGGCTCCAACACTGCCTGCAACCTCCTCCCTTCTCCAGGCTTCGCTCCTGCCATGCCCTCCTCCTGCCTCCCACCGCCCTCTCTACCCAACCAACGCTCTTTCTTATTGAGGAGTCAGCTCTGGCATTGCCCATGTATACCCAGCAAACACTGCCAGAGCACCCACGATGTGCCAGGCACTGTGCTGGGTGCTAGGGTCCCCACCTCGGTCATCTGACAGTACCCCAGGGGAGGCAAATGTTAGATTCAGAATTCCACAGTTAGATGTGACAGTTAAATATGAAGCACAGGAGGAATCCTGGAGGGCTTCCCTGAGGAGGTGATGCTTAAGCTGGGATTTTAAGGATGTAGGAAAGGATTTGGCCAGGTCCAGGGGGAAGGGAAAAGCTTTTCAGACAGAGGGAAGAGCCAGTGAGAAGACCCTGAGGCTCAGAAGAGCACGGGGGGAAGCCAAGAGGTGGAAAGTGAGGCTGGGTGGGACACGCAGGCCCCGATGGGCTGGTTTAGGACTTTGCTCTGCACCTCCGGGGCCATAGCAAATCATGACAGTCTCAAGCAGGGGGAACATGAGCCCACTGGAGGCAGCAAGCGGAGGCAGGAGGCCTGGGAAGAGGCTGCTTGGAGGCACAGCAAGGAGAATGAGTCCTGCCCTGTGTGTTGGGATGGGCTGCCCCGCTGCCCACGCTCACAGTTCCTGATCACGGCTCCCATGCCCTGTATGGTCACGGCCCATCAGGTGGCTCCAGAGTCTGACTGATCTGCAGTCCCAGCCCAGCACAGGTCCAGGGCCCACACTCAAGGACTCTCTGAGCCAGCGAGCCACTGGACTGACCCCACAGCCACCAGCAACTTCCAGAACCTTCACATCAGCAGAACACCAGGTCCTCATCCGTTTGAGGTCTCCCCAGACCCACCCTCTGAGCTCACTCACCACCAAGGCCCAGTGGCCTCACCGCAGACCTCAGGTCTCTCAGCCGGAGCAAGGTGTGAGCAGCAGGGCTCAGTCCTAGCCCCCTACCCTTCAGCCCCTGCAGGGCCCCAATCAGCCAAGGCTGCGGAGGATATGGGTTGCACACCATCTTGATACACCAGTTCCGGGGGCTGGTGGTCTGTCGCAGGCAGAAGAAGGCAACGGGCGCCAGGTCTGGGTGTGGGACATGAGGATCAGCTCCATCCAGGGGCTCCTCCAGGCCTGGTGGGGAGGATGGGGGGCTCTGGGGCCCGGGCTGCTCCGTGGTGACTCCCGGCTCGGCAGCCGGGGCTGCTGCAGATGAGGGCGGGGAGGCGCTCTCAGCCATGTCCACGCTGAGCTGGGAGCCCTGGGGAAGACAGAGAGGGTGGCACGTGGTGGGGACAGGCCTGGTACTTGTTCCCCAACCTGCCTCTCCACCAATAAGTGGACGGATGCGGCTCTGACAGCCCACCTGAGCCCCACAGGCCCCTCACCCTCACTCTGGGGTGAGGATTACGAAACAGCTGAGGGCCCAGCTGCACCCACGTTGGAATCCACTTTCAAGCTGGGTGATCATGGGGCAAGTCTGCTCACCCTGGCTGAGCCTCAGTTTTGGCAAATGAAGATAGTGGGGAGAATAAAGCCTTCTTAGAATATAATTGTGATATTAACTCTTTTTTTGTCTATTGGCAATTTCCTGTATTTGAAATCTTTCATTATTTAAGAGAAAAAATGTTTAAGTAATATAGAAAATCAAAAAAGAAAGAAGGGAGGGAGGGAGGGAGGGAGGGAAGGAAAGAAGGAAGGAAGGAAGGTTAACTTTTTTACAAGACTAGAGCTATGTATTTATTGTACCATCAAAGGTAAAGAAAACTTGCAAGAAAAAAGAGGTGATTGTAAAGACAGACATGATTGCCAGGACAATTCAGGTTACAAAGGCAAAGCTGGGGTGCTGCAGAATCAGAGACTGGGGGAACCCTGGCAAGCCAGGAGGGAATCACAGTTGGCTTCCCTGAGGAAGTGAGCCCGGAGCTGAGACCTGCAACTGAGTCCTTGACCCAGGGACCTCCTAGCCACTTCCTTACAAGGCTGAGAACCCAGGAATCTTAGAGTCCAACCTCCTCGCCTTACAGATGAAGAAACTGAGGTCCAGAGAAGGGACAGGACAGACATGTAGCGGAGTAACAGCAGAAATAGAATTCCAGTCAAAGGCCAGGCACGTGGTTCACACCTGTAATCCCAGCACTTTGGAAGGCCAAGGTGGGTGGATCACCTGAGGTCAGGAGTTTGAGACCAACCTGGCCAACATAGTGAGACCCCATCTGTACTAAAAATACAAAAATTAGCTGGGCGTGCTGGCGCACGCTCTAATCCCAGCTACTCAGGAGGCCAAGGCACGAGAATCGCTTGAACCCGGGAGGTGGAGGTTGCAGTGAGCCGAGATCACACCACTGCACTCCAGCCTGGGCGACAGATCAAGACTCCATCGCAAAAAACAAAATAATTCCGGTCACAGCCCACTTCCTGGGTCTGTGGCCCAGGCAGCTGCACAGGGCCCCGTGCTCAGAAGGGCCCTGAACTTGCTTTAGAATGCTGCTGTCACCAACATGAAATTCTTAATTTCTTATCAAGAGGTCCCACATTTCCATTTTGTTCTAGGTGTTGCAAATCATCTCGCTGGCTCCGACTCCGACTCAGGGCACTCCTACTCCCTGTGGCCTCATCTGATGCTCACAACCACCTCAGGAGGACTGTTATGCCCGTCTGGCAGGTGAAGAAACTGAGGCCAAGAGAACAAAGTGGCTTGTCAAGGCTACGCACCCAGCCAAGTGAAGCACCAGGTGGTGTTCAGAGGCCAGAATCCCAGCACCAGACCCCCAGGCAGGCTTCACGACAACGGACGGTGCCCTCGCTGGCCGAGGGCCTCCACAGGCAGTCAATGGCAAGGTGGGACGGACAGCCCCACTCCCAGGTCCTGCCCTTCACCACCTCACCCCAAAGGGCACCAATCCCTAAAACTTTGTCCCCTGAGGTCCCTGGGACCCTAGAACCCCTACAGGGCCAGTCTGGACCGTGGGATTGAGAGATGGGGCCCACATCCCTGGTGCCCACCCAGCTGCTGCAGGGCTGTCGACCAAGCCACCCGGAGCTGATGCATTTGGACATTTCTCTGGCTCCCGGGGGCAACGGGTGGGAGTTGGCACCTCCTGCCACTTCCGCTGGCTGGTCAGGGAGGCAGAGTTTTCTCCTGAGCTCAGGGCTTTGCTCTTGATTCCACAAAAACAGCCACGGGCCTTACATAAGCTCCCAGGCACCTTGGCCTGCCACGTGTCAGCCTCCTGGGCTGAAACACACCCTCCCTAGGGTGGCCAGCTCTGCCCACCACCGTGCCAGCCTCGGAGCCCACCACTCCCTCCCCTGGCCATTTGTTCTGGCCAGACTGGACCTCCTCAGGTCCTAGGCCCTGCTCCCGCTCTTCTCTCTCACTGGGGCACCTTCTCCTTCCTCCCAGGCCCTGTTCTACCAGGCCCTACTGATTCATTTGTCCAGTGAGCACCTCCTATGTGTAGGCTTTGGGCTATGCTGGGGCACGAGCCAGTCTCGGCACCAGCCCCCACTCAGCCCACACTTCCACAGAGGAGAGAGACACACCTATCGATTAATTTCTCTCTTCTTTTCCACAACTCTTATCACCATCCAACACAGTGCATAATTTATGTCTTTATATCTCCACGATTTGGCGTCTGTCTCCCCATCCTAAGAGAGGCCTGTAAGGGAGGTGTATCCCCTCACTGCTGTATCCCCAGCACCTGGAATGGCGCCTGAAGCATACTAGTGCTCAATTAATATTTGTTGACTAAGTGAATAAAAAGTGCTGGCAAGTAAATAAACAAGGGGGAAAGGTGGGAGTGGAGACAATCATCTTGCCCTCTCTAAAGGAAGAGACGTTTAAGTGAAAACCGAGAATCAGAAGGCAGCAGCCCTGACTGATCTGCTGGAAGAGCATAGGAGGAACAGCATGTGCGAAGGCCAGGAGAATGGGGCCCGCTCAGTGTATTTAAGGAACAGAAGTGAGGCCTAGCCTGGGGCAGGGAGGCGGATGAAACCGAAGAGTTTGGCAGGGCCCTAGGGGAGAACCCAGAGGAGCCTGGGTTTTATCCCAAGTTCAATAGAAGCCACAGGTGGGTTTTAGGCAGGGGAGTGGTGTGCTCTGCCCTGTTTCTAAGCCATCTCTCTAGGGGCTGAAGGGAGAGCGGATGAAGGGGCAGGGGTGGAACAGGAAGGGCCAGGAGGAACTGGGCTGGCCTGCCCTTGGCTGCTGGTGAAGACAGGGAGAAGGCGGTAGATTGAGATTTATTCTCGAGGTAAAGCACCTGGCCTTGCATCGACCACAGTGGCACACCCCGCAACCCTTGCCCCAGCATTGCTGAAGTCCTTCCTGAAAGCACACAGGCGGAAAGAGCTCCCCAAGACTCCGGGACTGCACAAAACTACCCCCTTCCTGTCTCTGGGCTATGTTGCTTGTGCTGATCTGCTTGTTGCCTCTCTTGGCCTGTTTAATGCCACCACACTGTGCTACCCTCCGTTCTCACACCTCTCCCCTCACTGTGGGGCTCCCAGAAACCACACCCCTAAGGCCACCACCCTCAACTCTCTCTCCAGCGGCCACCCAGCCTCCACCCTTGGACCTGCTCCCAGTGACCACCCAGCCTCCACCCTCGGACCTGCTCCCAGTGACCACTCAGCCTCCACCCTCAGACCTGCTCCCAGTGACCACCCAGACCATCTCCCTCTGACCTGTTCCTTAGCAGCTTCCCAGGCCACTACTCTCTGACCCACTGCCCACTCCCAAAGTCCCCAAGTCCAGTCCAGAAATCTCTCTTTCCTGTGTCTGTGGCCCAGCTCCTATCCCAGATGCCTGTGTGCCCATAGCTGGAAGCCCTGAGGGGACTGGCAGCTGGGCCTCCCTGGGCTCCAATCTGTCTGCAGATGGAGCCTCACAGAGACTAAAGGACTTGCTTTAGGTGACAGTATTGGTGAATTCAAACTCAGGTCCATCAGGTGCCAGTCTGAGCTGCCTTCATGTTCCTGAGTCCCCTTCTTCTAGGTGCTCCCAGGGCCTAACCCTGATGCTCCTTCCCCTGAGTGGCCCACCAAGCAGCAGTGTGGCAGTTGGGCTGGCCTCCAGGAACAGGGATAGGAGCAGAAGCCTGCTGTGTCTGGAACACAGACCCCCATTCCTGACTCCGGCAGCCTCTTAGAGCCTCAGTTTTTCTCTCTATAAAGCTCAGCCCTCCTCCAGCCTGCTTCAGCAGGCTCTTGTTAAGAAGCAAATGATGGGCTGCCGGGTGCCGTGTCTCATGCCTGTAATCCCAGCACTTTGGGAGGCCGAGGCGAGTGGATTATCTGAGGTCAGGAGTTGGAGACCAGCCTGGCCAACATGGTGAAACCCCATCTCTACTAAAAACACAAAAATCAGCCAGGCGTGATGGCGCACACCTGTAGCCCCAGCTACTCGGGAGGCTGAGACAGAAGAATCGCTTGAACCCAGGAGGCGGAGGTTGCAGTGAGCCACAATTGTGCCACTGCACTCCAGCCTCGGTGACAGCAAGGCTCCATCTCAAAAAAAAAAAAAAAAAAATAGAAGCAACGTGTTGTAGATGGGGAGGCACTCTGGTGGATGGCTGAGCATGCACTGGTCCAGCTGTGTCATCCCCAGGGGCTGCTACCCTAGTCCATTCTCTGTCATCACCATCACCACCACAATCATTATCATTATCACCACCTCTACCATCACTACCATCACCAACACCATCTCCATCATCACCACCACCGCCATCATCACCACCACCATTATCATTATCACTACCTCCACCATCACCACCACCATCATCATCACTACCACCATCACCACCACCACCTCCACCATCACCACCAACACCATCACCAACACCAACACCAACACTAGCATCATCACCATCACCATCATCAATATCACCACCATTGTCCTCACCACCATGATCATCATCACCACTACCATCACCACCACCTCCACCATTACCACTACCGCCACCATCACCATCACCATAACCAAAACCATCACCACCACACCACCATCATCACCATCACCACCATTACCCTCACCACCACCATGACCATCAACACCATCACCATCACCATCACTAACACCATCATCATCACCACCATCATTGCCATCACCAACACCATCATCATCACTAACACCACCATCATCACCACCATCATCACCACCATCATCACCACCATCACCATCACTAACACCAACATCATCACCATCATCACCACCACCATCACCAACAACATCATCACCAACACCAACATCATCAC